AACCACTTCTGAAAAACAATTGCCTTGAAAACTGCAAAAGGACTCGTCCAAAAAGCAGTCATTGCAGAGTCGGTAACGACTGAGCGCAGACAGAAAAAAAAAAAAACCAGTCTTGGTACAGGTCATATTACTTACATTTATTTACATTACATTTAGATTTCTCTTCAGCTATGACAATTACAGAGTTTGTCTCATGGTGTGGTTTTTCTGTTCAATATAGATACTGCATCAGCAATTCTCTAGCAAATATGTATGAAATCAAGCTAACTGCATCTCATTTACCACTACCTGAAAAGAACTGCCAGAACACAACAAACCCTAAGATGATAGTATTAGATGCTGGACGCTTCCAGGTCAGTTTTCTAATTTAACTGTTTTGCTTTCGTTTGCTATTCTGCTTACTTTATTGGAATATATATAAAAGTATCTTAGTTGGGATTATGCTTTAAAGTGATGCCATATAGGTCTGCAGCTAAGTATTTTCCCCCCTTGAAATTTCTCAGTTTTTTCATATGTTTGCCATTGGAAGTTATTGGCACTTCACATAGGTCCTGCTAATATATAAAGGGAGTCTTAATGAACAAATAATACCAAAGTTTGATGCTTATTTCATAAAATCATCCAACATCTCCCCTGTTCAAGCAATTCATTTGAAAAATAATTAGGTACAGTCTTGTGGGCACTTCATTAAACAATCAGGACTGATTTGGGACAGCTGTATCCTATATAAATCTCATAACTCTTGATTCTATTTGCCTTCGTACAGTGAAGTTGTTAACACAGAGATTTCAGACACACATAATTTACTACTCTGTAGAAATTTCTGAAGACCTTCATAAAAAAATTATTGATACTGTATAGAAAAGGTTACAAAACCATTTCTAAAGGTCTGGGGCTTCATCAATCCTTAGTCATAGTTTTAAGGAGAGAATATATGTAACTCAAGATTTAACTGTTGACTTCTTGGTGCTCTCTTAGCTTGGTTGTTTGGTTGCAGATGTTTCATTACCCAACTTGGTAATATCATATAGTTTGAAATGGAGATGATTTGGGACAAAAATGTATCTTCCTAAGAATGGTCATCCTGTGAAATAACTTCATGAGTGCAGCTTAAAATTGTCCAGTAAGTTACAGAAAACCCCAGAAAAACATCCAGGGAACTGCAGGCCTTGGGTAAAATCAGTGTCATCATTCCATCCTCAAAAAACCACTGGGTAAAAATAGGATTCATGGGAAGGTAGCAAGGCAGAAGCCATTGCTGATTAAGAACATTGATGCTTGGCTGAAGTTCACCAAAAAATTATTTGGTTGAACCTTCCAACTTTAGAAAAATGGTCTATGGACAAGTGAATAAGAAGTGAGATTTTTTGACTATGTGGATATTGTTATGTTTGGCAGAAAAATCTCATGCTAACTGTCAAGCATGGAGGTGGTGATACTATGTTTTGGGATGTTTTACTGCCTCAGAACCAATGATGATTTGAAGAAAGTATGAATTCTGCTTTGTATCAGTATATCAGGCTATATGTTCATGAGCTGAAACGGAAATACAAGTGGGACAATGAACAAGACAGTGATCCAAACTTTCAAGCAGGTCTATAAGAGAATGATGAAGGACAAATGTCCAAGTCATTACAAATGTTGTAGCACAATCAGAAACAAACAATTCATGCTTGAAAGCCCTCAGATATTACTGAGTTGATGCAGTTTGCCATGGTGGAATAGACTAAATTCCTATATAGTAATGTGAGAGACTGATCACCAATTACTGCTACAACTTATTTATTTATTTATTTATAGCCAAAAGACCCAAATACCAATGAATAAACATTTGATAATGACTATTGCAGCTAAAGTTAGTCCAACCAGTTAATTGAACCTAAGTGAGTGATAACCTTTTCACTCTCCCATTGCGTGTTGGATTAATCTGTTAATGGAATAAATGAAACTGGACTGTGGTATTATTTACTCAGACTCATGTATATCAGTAGGACCCATGTGAAACTGGTAATAATCGGTAACAACGTGCAAAAATTTTAAAAATCTGAAAGGAGTTGAATATTGTTTCACAACTCTGAAAGTTCAGAGTTTCACTGAACACTGGTATTATATCTTTTATACACCTTTTGCTGACTTTTAGTTTTGCAAGTGTGTTATTTATGTTTCTGTTTTTAATACTTATTTCAAAATGTTTTAATGCTAATAGTAAGTTGTTTTGGGAAATTTGCATTTTAATAAGATACAAATTTGTAAGTAGATGAATGGTTTTAGTTGTTGGCACACTGAAGTTTGTTAACTATTACATCCATTTTGCCTTTCTTTGCTAAGATACCTTGAAGACCTGTGAATGAGGAGGGAAAGGGAAAGCCTGCAAATCTGTCTTTATAGCATACATGTATAGGTGATCTTGTGTTTGAATTGCAGAAAGGAAGGGTTGAGAGCACTGGAAGTGATAGTTATTTCAGATCTCTTAATAAGGATCACAGTGCCATACCTTGTAGTGGTGAGTAGAGATTTATTTTGCAAATTCAGATGTAATGATGACATACTACTCTTT